TATCCACCTTTGTGCGAACTAGTTTAGTAAGTTGCTGAAAGACCTCAGACCGACCGGGTTCGTGGACTTGTTTACAGATCTTACAGCGTCTTCGACAGACGTGAGCCGAGTGTGACATATCGCCACATGCTCCATAAGGTCGGTACTGCCGTCGTGGGGAACCAGCAGCGTTATAGTGCCACTGGAACCGATTATCTCGGCTAAACCCTCACGGCTGATCAGTCTTCGGGATTCTAGTGTCCGATCGAGCATACGTCCCGTCAGCTTCATTTCTATGTTCTCGATCATGAGCTGCTGCTACAATGTCACCTTCACCGGCAGAATCATCGTTGTCTTCTCTTTTATCGCCGGTGTATCCTAATCCATCGCCATTCCATTCATCATGGTTATCGTAAACATTATAGCCGTCGTAAATGTCGTGACGGTCGTCTTCATCACTCGTGTACATCTTTTGGACTTCAGATGCTTTCACACCTTCCGTAAAAGCGACTCGCCTAATGTTTTGTGAGTCGTCGCGACAGCGCCCGTAATCTCGGCCACCCTTATAGCTGCGGGTATACCTCTCTTGTGTTGTCCCTTCGTTTTGATCGTCTGGTATCGTGATTTCGGGATCGCGAATGGGTTGGTCCGTTCGCAGATCGCGGTCGTCCACCTTCAGGATCTCGATAACCATCTCTTCCAATTCATGGTGGTCAAATACCTTACGGGTCTTCCACATAGACTTTTATAGACTGCATCACAGTCTTGACTGATCGCTCTTGCTCTCCATTCGCTTGTGGGCGATAGCTCAGCGTTGACCTAGACCGCGCTTGCATTAGTTCAGCGAAGGCTTGGAAGACCTCGTTCATGAAGCGTGGGCCAACGTCGTGACGAATAAGAGACGGAGCACCAAATCGTCTATCGATGCATTCTTCGAAGACCTTGGCCACAGTCATGACATCGGTATCCGACATCGCTATAGCTATCACGAACCCGGTAAATGAGCACTGCCATAACAACAGAGCGATGTTTCCCGACGAGATCTCGGCAGGGGGATCCCAAAGTCCATTGACACCACCTGGAAAGGTCGCTATGCTAGCACCTTTCCAGGTGAGTAGCATTTGAGCTGTGGCAAGCTCTTACTCGAGCTGCCGTCTAGGCATGATTTCACATGTTTCCTCACATCCGCGTAGAGTTCGATCCAGTAGTAGTCGTGCTTTACTCTCTGGTAGGAGCGGACAACACCGTG